ATAAGTCTGTTGTGTTTCCTGTGTGCTCTTTATTGACCGTAACCAGAACCAGATGACAATTCAGTTTATCAATTAGTTTTCACCTGAATACGTGAGTGTTTCAACAGCAGACGGAGGCATTTGAGAATAAACCTCACTTTTTGCCCCGATGGGATGCTGCTTCAGCTTCAACCGAGTGCAGAATGTTTCTGATCGTACTGATCGATCTGATCCGTCTCCATCTGTTTTATAGTTTCTACGCCACTGAAGAAAAGTCAACATGTGCACGTTTAAATAATTAGTCTGTTGTTAATCTTTATTTTTCTTATTCTTATTATTCTTACATGACTGTTTCATTATGTCTCCAGGCACCCACAAACCAACCATAGTGGTGAAATGAAAAATTGATTAGTTGATTGATAGAAGATTAATCAGCAACAACTGTGATTATCATTTTTTAAGCAAAAATGTCAAAATAAATGGCTATAGTTCTCCAATTTCTTTCTGTGATAGTAAACTCAATATCTGACTGATAAAAAAAACTGTTGAATAATTTGGCAAATGGGATCTTGGGCTTCAGGGAATAACGACGAGCGTTGTTTTTTTTTTACTATTTTCTGATATTTCATACACTGAACAATTAATTGTTTATTGAAGGTCTTATCGACCAGATAGAACTGGACATGTGTGTTGAATTTCAAGTCAACGTACGGGGAAAGGGGCGTGGCCTTTCAAAATTAAAATCAACTCTTTTTTCCCCCAGTCCTGAATGCATGCCAAAATTGGTAGGTTTTTGAGCATGATAAAGCCCCTTAAAGGTCAATTAATTTGGCAAAACAAGAAGAAGAAACGCAACAGTTTCAATAGACATTGTTGGTGCTTGGGCCATAATTCTATGGCCTTCCGGCATAGATTCACAGACTGTGATTGGAAAGAAGGTTGTGAATAAATGAGGAGTTTAAACAGATGTTCCCTGTTGTGTCTAACTGGTATTTTTTCCTAAAGGATCAGGCACTGCAGGACCTCCTGTGGTCTTAATCTAGGCTTCTTTATTCATCTCTCATCTTCCCTTCTCCGACAGCTCACTGCTACTGATGATCTGTGGCTGTGTGCATGAAATGTCTATAAAGAGCTTATCCTGTACACTGGTTGAAGACATTGTCTGTTTCTTAACATAAAGAGCAAGATCCTTTCTTTATCATTTGTCCTGATGGTTTGCTTTTCCGTCCCACAAGACAAGACTGCAGGTTGTTAAATACGAAATGTTCTATGCATGAAATGTTCTGAAAAAAAGTGAAATTGAAATAATAATAATTGCCTTTCAGCAGACACACTACTCAGTATGTGGAGACCCAGTTTCAAGGACCAACGGTACACAATCACGTTAGCATTTACTTTTAAGTTGGCAGTTGGCCACAGGAGCTTTTACAGAAATATGCAAGCATAATCAGGACTTCAGTCCCATGCCTAATAAAATGAGCCAATACATTAACAAAGGTTAAAAGCATAAGCAGTATCCTTGGCTTGATACCAAAAATTAAGATTTAATGACTTTACCCTCTTGATAGTCATAAAGTCGGTAAAGCTTCAACATGTGCATGTTTTACTTAATAATATTAGCCGCATGATTTAAACTGAAGGACAAACCAAGCTCCCTTTGTTGTACAAATCACATTTTGTCATTTTTCTTTACTTGGAAAAACAAGCTATGCTAGCAGCTCTGTGAGCTAAATGCTAACATTCTCCCTACAGTCTATGCATTCTCCCAATGACAATGCTAACATGCTGATAGCTAGCAGGTATATTCACTATGCTAATAGGCCTGGGAAAAGTACAGTTGAGCAGGTATTTACCAAAGTATTGGACAAATAAAAAAAAATGTTCTTGGGATGACACCAAATGAAAGGTTACTACAAGTCATCGTGGGGGAACGTTAATGTGTGTACCAAACGTTGTTACGATATTTCAGTCTGGACCAAAGGGCTCTAAAGTCTGTACATTCACTGTGCTGTCACACTGACAGATGCTGAAATCTTACTTTTTGACCAAAGACAGCACACTCTACTTTGAGTATTTATAACTCTCTAAAAGTCAGAAACCACTGAGACACACTTTATGGAGCATCAAAAATTGTTCTGGGTTTTAGACCCAAAATATTTTTTTACTTTAATTATTCAGACTGAAAACAACAGAAACCTGCACCACTTTTCTCTGACGGTCGCCCTGGGTGCTCAGCTATTCTTCTCCATCTGTTTAGTTTCTTTGTGTAACAGCATACTATTTTACGCCCCGATGACGTCACAGTGTTGCATCCGCCATGCAGCCCTTTTTCAATTAGCAGCTCTCAGCATGGGCATTAACACACTGAAGTGTGTACCTAAATCTGTAAAATCTGTTCTCAGGACGAGGTTGATTCTAGAGGACGATGAGCATGACATCTAAAATTGTCCTCTCGTTGAACATAATCACATTTAAAAGTAGCAGTGTGGAATATAATGCTACTTTAACTGTTTGCACACTTGGAGTTAAATCAACACCACAGAGGAAGAGGTTAGCAGTGAGAGGATGTCTGCTCTCTGTCACCCTGAGCCACCAGATGTTGCTGTAGAGCAGAAACAGCCTGTAGAGACTCACAGGAAGTCTGGTCTGCATCTGGAATTGAAATAAGCGTAGTTCCTGCAAAGGCAGCAATTTAGAGATGCAAAATAAAGACAGGAGACAATGTCTGACTGATGTTATAGGTATAGCATCAAGCCACCATGTTCAGGACAGGTATACGGCTTCAGTGAGAACAATGACAAACTGTTACCACTTCAGATTGGAAAAAAGTGAGTGTTCCCCCCCCTCGCCCAGAGCTCAACCACATGTTGAATTTCTCATCTGTGTGTATTTTCAGCATTAACACATTTGCTGGATAATTTTTTCCATGTTCTGTCACACACACAGCTATCTGTCATCTGGTTGAACATGAACAGTCCGCCAAGAAACACCCCTCCAACTCCCCATCCCGCCGTGTCAATCAGTTCACTGTATATTCAGGTGGTTACCACTAGTGCAAGAAGTACTCAGATCCTGAATAGAAGTGTAACACTACTCCATTAAAAGTAAAAGTCAAGTATTAAGAATGTAAGGTACAACAGTATTATTACAAAAATGTGTTTAAAGTATCAAAAGTAAAGTTTTTACGATGCACAATGGGCCCTATCTGAGTATTGTAATACTATATTAAATTAATGGATAAGGAAGTGATAATAGGTGAAAACCCAGATGACAGCAAAATAGGGCAAAGTCTGAAATATGGAAAATTTAAAATGCCTAGATTAAAACAAATCAACCAAAATAATGTATGAAATACAATACAAATTATTATATGTATTTACTTTTTATGTATAAATTCACTGTGTCACAGTTAGATTAAACACATATGTTAGAAGGATAGCTATTCAGTGTTTTGTCTTTAATAACTGAATTAATTGTTTTTCATTGCGACATAAATTCCACACGCCCCATTAAAATAAAACCACCACACAGAAAACAAGGCGAGGTGTATTTCACTTCAGTGTTGTCCTGTTCTTCAATTTCTGTTCTTTTGAAGTTGACTTGATTGATTAAGCAGTATATCATTTATTTATAATAATGATTTTAAACTCAAATATTGAATGAAAAAAGGTCAGCTGACTGCTCTTGAACTTACACGGGGTTGCAGTTTGTGTGCAGGAAAGAGGAAACATTCTACTGCAACGAAACCACTTTCAGGTTGTGATAATCATTAACCCTGTAGATGTCCTGGTGGTTGAATGTTACTGTTAGTCCTGTGTAGTTGAAATGACACAAAACATAGCTGACAACGTTCCTAACACACACATATTCGTGACCGTTGGGCTCGGTTGATGACTTCACACGTTGCCAACTCCTCACAGTGTTATCACGTCTGACGTCATCGTTATATCTCAAAGCCCTCGGAGGGAGTGTCTCTCCTTGCTGTCTTGGAAACCGCATGGATGCACAACTGCAGCCTCTGAGCTGAAGCTGTGCACAAGGACAAGAGTCAGTTCCAGATGTCTGAATTCACATTTTCAACTATATCAGGATGAATGCTGTGATGTGTTATATAACCTGTCACGGTTTTGGGTTGTGTTTAGTTGTTTCTTCCATTTTATTTTGACTTTCCCTGCCTCTTGTGTCCTGTGTTCACTTCACTTCCTGCCCTTGTCTGTTTCCCGCGTCAATGATTGTCTGCCCCGCCCTTGATTGTGTCTAATCACCTGCACCCTCCCAGTGTATTTAAGCCCTGTGTGTCCCTTGTCTCATTTTCTGTGGTGTATCCTGGTCTGTTGTGGTTCTGCTGATCATCCCTGGTATGTTCCCTGATTCATCTCTGCTCTCCCCTACTGTATTCCCTGTTTTGAAGTTTTATTTTCTTGGACAATTTTGTCACCCATTTTTTGACTCCTCTGTTCTGTGAATTTTGTGTTGAAACATTTTCTTTACTATTAAAACCACCTATATTCAACCCTCTGTTACCCTGTGTCTCCTTGTATTTGGGTCCGTCCTTTAGTACGCCGTTAAATGTGTCGCAACCCGTTTCTCTCCTTCCTCATTGATGCGTCCTGACATGAAACTCAACAGAGGAAGAGATTCACATTCCACAGCAGCCTGTTTCACTTTCAGACACGAACTTCACCAGTTTGAATTAAGGCAACAAATATTCTCCCATATGTGCTTCCCTGCTCTCTAATTACTGTAACTCCCTTCCTGTGCTCCCTCAAACTGCACTGTTCGCCACGATTTGTTTTTCTTCCCTCCCTCCCGATCCTGTCTTGTTCTTTAGTGGTGGAGGGAGAAATTTGGAGAATTCTTTTCAGTGACCACACCAAACTATCCAGTCACATGCTCTCTTTTTCCTTCCTGTCCTTCTCCTAAATAAGGAATTACAATTTGACTGGGGAAAAAGAGAATGAGCAAAGGGGCGGGCCATGGAGTGAAATAAGACAGGAAGCTCTCTCTCTCTCTCTCTCGATCTCTCTCTCTCTCTCTGTGCATGTATGTGTGTGTGTGTGTGTGTGTGTGTGTGTTGAAGTCATATATTTCATACGAGGGTGTTTACTGTATTTGTTGGCAGTCTTGTAGGGTACACTCGGCACTGTGTTATAAGGAAGAAGAAGAGCAGCAACACAAGCCCTAACCCACCTGTATTCACCTGAAAGCTACTACACAAAGTAAGTAAATGCCTTTTCTTCTTCTTTTTGTTTTCTCTCTGCCTCATTCATCAATCAGTTTTTTTGCTTTCTCGCTGGCGGTCAAAAGATTTCTTTGTTGCTTTAAGCTTGTGGCTAACTCTGTGCAGGAAACATGAAAAAAAAAAAGTGTAATATCATACACCCCACCCTCACACTCTGTCTCCTTCTCTTCGCTCCTATTGTTTTATGTAATCCTGTTTCTGTTCTACCTTTGTGCTCACTACTCTTATCATAGACCGCATGGCTTCAGTGGTTCCGCCTTCAACATGTAGCCAGTACTGTCTTAGAAATATGTAATTTTCTAGTGTAATATATGCTCTGAACACCAGTTCAGGATATGGCAGTAAAAGTCTGCATGTGTTTGCCACATATGTTGTCACGTTTATGGACCATGGTAAAGTTATATGTGCAGGCGAGCGCTTTCGACTGTGAGGGAACTTAAAGAGTGAGTTCAGGTGGTGGTTGGGCTGTTCTGACTATCTTCAGTGATAAGATAGAAATGCTGAATGAACAGTCTGCGTCAGCAGCTGGGACTGTGTAGAAATAATCATGTGACCTAGTTAATCCATTGTGTTCACATAACAAAGGTTTCAGAATGACCTTTAGTCTTTTCCTGAGCCGAATGAGTTCCACATCACTGAGTTGAGATGGTGTTAAATCTGACTCAGTAACTAGCAATGGTATTGTTTTATGCGGCCCTGTTGCGATTACAATAAAAGTTGTGACACATCCTGTAATAAATTACTGGAAGTTAACTATGATACAGAAGTTTGAGCGGGGGGTGAGAGGCGAATGTAGGAGTAACTGGAGTTGCATTTGAATAAGACAACTAACCCTCAGATGACACACAGGAGATCAGAGGGCTCAGAGTAGCAGTCAAGGTATTAAAAACTGTGTAAAGGTAAAGCAGAGGATTAATGGAAAAGCTCACTCAATAATGTCGGTCACATCAGTGTTTTTTTTTAATTTTTTAATTTTTTTTATTCAGGTTTGCATAATACTGGAAAAATAAAAGCTTTGCAAATGATAAACTGGAAGACTTGTAAATATAGTTGTTGTCGAGCGAACTTGTATCGCAATGAGTAGCTTACAATATCAACAGTCGCACTACAGAATCCCGCCATGCTGAGCACTGGAGTACGCAGAGCAAAGGTTTACGTCACAAAAGCAGAATAATCTTGTGGCAACACGTTCAGTTAGATGAGTTTTAATGAGGTACTGAAATTAACCGTTGCCTCTTTGCCACAGCATGCATGAGACGATGCTTAAACCAGTTTATGACACTTGTTTTCCATATTTAGACACCTTTGCAGCACACGTCGCTGTTCATTGACATCATGGTGTTTGTGATGTTGTAGCTGTGACTATGATTACAAGATGTTCTCAGTAACTACTAGGCCGACTACTAATTGATTTCTAAAGTGTACAGGTCTACATAATCTTCCAAAACACTCATTCAAACACCTGCACAAACCCTCTGTTTGAATGGCGTTGACCTAATCTTGTGACGTCCAATCAGCAGTTTGTGTAGGTTCAGAGTGCAGGTTATATTTAATCTGAGTTCATCATCCCTCACTGTTCATTGCATGCAGAGATGAGTCCTGATGTCTGCAGCTGCTGGATGTTCTCTGGGCGTGTCAGAACAAAACGGATTGAACCTCTGTTTGAGAAAGAGGTTGTTCATGAGTTTGGGATGTTTACATCTAAACTTCACCCTTGGTGTTGTGACAAACTGGTTTAGGAGTCACTTAGCTGACAGGAAGTTGCTTCTCCCCCACATGCCCATGTAACCGCTGCAACCTCGGACAATGAACAGAGCCGCGAGCGTGATCTATGGCAGCAAGGGCTCCAGTTTGGAGCTGCTTGTCACACTAATGGGCTGTGGCACATATTGTGTAAGACTGAGAAGCCTCTGTTTCACAAGATATGTAATAGGTGTGTCTTTCTGTCCTTGTATTGAACCAGTTTCAAAAACAAAACCCAGATTCTTGCAGACAATACACCATGGTATGTCTCCAGCCTTGTTAAAAGGCAACACAAATGCAGTTTCCATATATTTGCAGAATATACACATACCAGAAATGTTATGCATGCTTGAGGCAGGAAGAGAAGTAAGAGCAGAGTGTTTTCCTATCGGCTATAAACATCTCCATATGCTATCTGCTTTTCTAGTTTAAAAAAATGGCTCTATTGCGCAACTCAATTATTCAGATATGTAAAAGCAAAAGCTGTGGTTTGGCGGTTAACGGGTAGGCTAACGTCTCATACTTTCATGTTTTAACAGGCTCGATGGAGGATTTTTGTTGTTGCTTAAAGGTTGTTGCTATGTTGAGCAGTACAGGACATGTCGGGGGAGGGAGGAAGGAAGTAACAGCCGAATAAGCAAACGGGGAGCGGGGAAGTTCTACTGAAGCCAACAGGAAGCTCGTACTGCATTAATAAGTGAGATGGGCCAAACGTAATTACTTACAGCAGGGTTGTAATTCTTTAAGACATTAGCATTACACTACAGCATTTTCAGCTTCCAAGGAACAAAATGTCTTTGTTAAATAAAGGTTTGGATAATATAAATAAAAAGCTTCAGTCTGTGGTTGTTTACATTTTGGCAAATGTGCTAGTTCGGTTTCTGGTGGATGAGAAGATCGCAAGCTGTTTCCACCTCTTTTCAGTCTTTATGCTATGCTAATCCAACCAGTGCCTAGCTGTCGCTTTATATTTAACACACAGAAATGAAATAAAGGAATTGTCTTTCCCAAAATCTCAAACTATTACTTTTAAGCATCAGATGCCTGATTTCCACATTTTAACTCAATTTGTCTCAAACCTAATTCTAACCTTAACCAACAAAAGTCTGAACAATAAAACAGCCTCTTGAACAAGTGGGGACCAGCCAATAAACATCCTTATTCTGAATGTTTGAGATTAATAGGTTCTCAAAAAACAGTTCTAACTCACAACAGAAACATTCACGCAGGCATCAGGAAGAGAGTGACTCTAATGCTATTTGTTCTGACTGCAGGCCAGGAGTATGGGTGTGAGCAGGGCAGGGATTTGAATATAAACGTTCTGTCATCAATCAAACATCGATATAGAAAAGAACACAATACGCTGCCAAGGAGTGAAGATTGCTAAGCTATCTTTCCCTTCCAACAGGTTCAGCATGGCAAACGTCGGTCCTTCCTTTGGTCTGTCCCGAGAGGTACAGAGTAAGATTGATAAGAAATACGACCCAGAACTGGAGGAAAGGTTGGTGGAGTGGATCGTCGCTCAGTGTGGCGCTGGAGTGGGCCGGCCTGAGCCAGCCAAGATCGGATTCCAAAACTGGCTCAAGAATGGAGTTGTGAGTGTTTGCACAAGTGTAAATACAGCATTGTAGTTTCAACTATGTACAGTATATTTAGAGGGATCTGCTTGGTTTGTCTAGGTGCTGAGTGAGCTCATCAACAGCCTGTATGCTACCAACCCGCCAATAAAGAACTTTAAGAGCTCCAGCATGGTGTTTAAGCAGATGGAACAAATATCCCTGTTCCTCAAAGCAGCAGAAAACTATGGAGTCACCAAAACTGACATATTTCAGACTGTAGATCTCTTTGAAGGTAAGACGAGAACGGATATTATTTCAGCAAAATTAAGTGTTTTGCAGATTTACAGGAATGAAAGTGTGGAAATTACCTGTATTCAGTGGTGAGGAGCACAGGTCACTGCCCCCTGCCTGTATTTGGTGTGTGTGCTCTGGTCATCTGAGATTGTTTCATGTCTTCCAGGCAAGGACCTGGCCGCTGTCCAGAGGACCCTGATGGCTCTGGGTAATTTGGCTGTCACAAAGAACAACGGCTGTTACAAAGGAGACCCCAACTGGTTCCACAGGTGAGTTTGAGTTTTGAACTAGTCTCTCTGTGGGGATTTGGTAATGCAATGGTTTCATTCCAGTGCTGAGGGATGAGATTGTGGACTGAGAAGATGTGTGCCCGTATGTGTGCAGGAAAGCCCAAGAGAACAGGAGAGATTTCTCAGAGGAACAGCTGACCGAAGGCAAAAATGTCATCGGCCTGCAAATGGGCACAAACAGAGGAGCATCTCAAGCTGGAATGACGGGCTACGGACGACCCAGGCAGATCATCAACAAACCATGAATCCACACAGAGCTTAAACTCTCCTTCTCCTGCCCTCTGAAAGGCCAACTAGGACCATGAGAAGTGTAACCCGACTGTTTTCAAGGCTAAACTGGACCAAAATGGGGACCAATGAGAACATGTGCACATACTTCATGTTGAGTAGGCCTACACAAATAGATACCTTAAACAGTGTAAAGTTGACAGAGCATTTGACATAGTAAATTGTAAATGATAGTTTGTTCTTAATTAAAGGATAATTTCAGTTGTTTTACATGTGTTAACCCACTTCCTAAAAATCAAATGTGCCTAACTGCAAACCTAAGATTTTAGATTTTTTTTGTTGCCTTCCAAACATCCAGAGGTTTCAGTTCATTATAAAATCATCTTGCATTTAACATTTAGTCTGTTTTATTCTTTATTTCAACAGCTTCATCTTTGCAAAACTCTGCCTATTGGTGCATTCAAGGACACTCCGGTAACTGACATTTGATAATTTTTAATGGGTGAAACAATGAAATCCATTATTTATTTTGACACTGTCCGCCAGTGTTGCTGCTCTGGCATATCAATTCTGGGACATCAGGCATTGCATTCAGTGCTTGACTGCAACCCCCAAGGAGTTTTTGAGAAGTTCCCCTGCACACAACTGCGAAATGAACAAGAATTAACGATAAAGAGAAATCTGACGTAGTTGTTAAAATTGAATACTCTGATCTCAAGCAAGGTTAAAGTCTCATTTGTGACAAGTAGCAGCCTGGAAAGTAAGAAGTGCAATGTGGTTTACAATTATATTAAGCAGAAAATTTAAATTAATGGGCTACAACAAAACATATCCACTGACAATGTCAACTACAAGTCATTTTAGAAGGTGAATTGCCTGGTTTAAAAATGTTTTAAGAAAAACAATATGGTCGTGTTTGTTTTTATTACCTGCTCTGTAACACAATCTGCAGCTAGATTTGTAATCAATATGTCGGACCTTCTTTTGAGCGTTTAATACGTCATCTATGAGAACGCTTTTGAAATAGTTTGATTTACCGTTATAGAAGCCTCTTGTGTGATGAATAGATTAATGATAGATTATGAAAGTAGGCTTTGTCCACCTGTACTGATAACACTATTGATCACTCTAAATCACGATGCTGTGTGATTCTTTATAGCCTGGTGGCACCAGGCAAACAGTAAAAGAGATAACTAACGTACATAGCAACCCACGATAAACATGTCTCAGTCTGCAGGTAACATTACACCTAGCCGTGTTTGCTTTAAACCAGCTGTACTCCACGTAGAGATAAGCAGATGGAAAAAAAAGACAATCTCCCAAATGTGGGAGGAGAGAGAACATGACGGGTGGGGGTGATGACGGGTGGGGGTGAAGCCTGGATTTTTCCTGGCTGAGCTTTGCCTGGTTGGATGGAACGAGGGAAACAAACGGGATTCAGAGGACTGTCACTATCTCCTGCCAAGGTTTTGTTTATACTTTGTTTTTCCTTGGGTACCGACTAAGCCGTTCAGCATGAACTGTCTCAGGAAAAAGGTTGGAGATGGAAAAGAAAAGCAGGAAGGAGAAGACAGAAAAATAAGTTAGGTTTGATGAGAGAGAGCGATTATAAAGAAACTGGAAGAAGTGGTACTTTTTAAAACCGAAATGTCCAGGTGGAGTCCAACGCAGGAGATTAATGTGGCTGGGGTCAGACGGAGAATAGGTCAAGAAAGAACAAAGGACCTAAGAAATCAGAGCATTCCCAAAAAAGGAGTGCTCATTGCAGAAGGGGGCAGTCAAAAAGACTTCCTTCCTTCTCATTCTTCGTCTGTTAACATGAAACTGTGGGAATAACATTTTACACAGAGGGGTAAATTGGTATATTGTAAACTCGTGAGAAGCCAGAACAAATTTAAAACAAATGGAAAACATGAAGTAACCAGGTCTACTGTACAAGTAGTGGTGTCATATTCAGTTTTGGTTTGTATAATCTATTATTTTCACAATAAAAGCATTAGAAAACAGCTCCTCATTACATGCTTGATCACTGTGCAGTCACACTTATATTAAACAGTTCATAAATACTTTTTACAGCACTTATTTGCCTCTGGTGGAGCGAGATAATGTCCTGTTTGTAATGTCCTCAGCACTAAAGCTTCCTCCTGCTGTTGATGCTGCAGGACATTAGTCTCTGTGGGACAGTGGCTGCTTTTCTCAGCCGTAGTTTAGATTATTCTAATTGCCAAAAAGGGTTTAGTATTTCAACACTAACATTTATTTCAACATTAACTCATGTGCTTTGGCATCAGTGAGATCCTTGAGCCCCACACTGCTCATCACTTCTGGTCCGTTATAACGTACCAGCTTTGTGTCCCTGCAAGACATTTTTACACTGGACCTCGGATTCATTTTTACTGGTTGTGAACATCAATGGCAAACTGCTGAGGTCAAGACACAAACATATTGTATTGTAAGTGCAGGCCAGGTCAGAGAACTATTGGACAATAAAACAGTAGATTTAAATAGAATAATTTAATAATTCATATTTGACATTTAACTGTCACTGAGCACTTTGTAGTCATTGGAGGATGGTGATGTCAAGAAAACAAATTTCAGAAATGCATTACATCGTCGTTTCATCACCTTTCATGTCTGGGGAGATAAAAGCTGATGTGAATCGTTTCTCATTTATTGTGTCAGGAGCGCTGCTGCATGGACGACTGCTAATTCATCATTTATTGACTGACTAAGCTAACAACCTTTAGCATACATAATTTACTCCCTTGTCACACTGTAGTGGAGTGCAACTTGTTGACGATAAATGAATGAATCGGTAAAGTGATTGGTTAAGAATGTATTGATCATCAATTGATCATTTGAGACTTGAGAGAAGAAAACTCCTTGAGCAAGGCACTTAACTTCCTGAAGCACTGCAGTGGAGCTACTCAGTAAAACACTGTGTGTATGTGAGTTTTATGTCTACCTCAAATTAGACACCACGTGACTTTGAGGTTGAGGTTATAAACTCATATGTTAAACTCATACTTCACTGCTGACCTGTCACTGTGGAAGGCAGCTGAAATTAATGAAACTAAAAAACGCATCTGAAATATTCCCCAAACGAGCTAAAACAAACAATACTCTGTACTCTCTTTTTTTATAGATCTTTATCGCTCACAGTCTAGATGTTTAAAACATGTCTACAGCTAATCTTTAGCAGCACAGCGTCGTCTGGTCTTTATGACACAGGAGCTTTGATTTTTCATTCCTTCAGGGTTTAATCAAAGCGTGGAAACACCAACACACCACTGGCCTCACCGCAGAGGAATGCACTTTGCTGCCATACAGGGGCATAACAGGGGCGACGATTAGCTTCAAGGTTAAAGACGTTGCCTAATGACTGGAGAGATGCCAGTTCAAATCCAAAGACTGTCTGTAAAAATATGAATGGGGCTGTTTTCACACCTTGTTCTACCAGTCTCAAGGCTCAACCTCCTTGTATTGACCACTGGAGAGCAAAAAAAATCTACCTGGAGCCCAAAAAGCAGTTTCTCAATAAATGACAGGACACCTTGACTTGCAAACATCACATTTGACTTTCTGTTTTGAATTTTTGATCCAAGGAAAGTTTATGTTTGTAAAACTTTTCTCAAAATCTGTGACGTCATCTCAATATAAATATATATATATATATGGCTGAGCGGCAGAAACACTATTGAAGATATTTATCGGAATTTCAGGAGCAGGACCACTCCTCAACCCTACCTCTTCCTGCATAACCATAAATACCCGCCTAACCCGCTCCTCCCATTCGGTACCCCTCCCTCTCACTCTCTTTCTCTCTCCTCCACGTAGGGTCCTGAGGGGGTTTGCTGTGCGCCAGGTTTGTCATTTGACTGAATAGGTCACCTTTGGGTCCACTATCAAGCGCTTACAACACATCGATGCTTCAGTAGAGAGCTGCCTCCATTAACACCCAAAGGTAATTTAAAAATGTGCTTAAAATTAATTTCCAGTCGTGTCTCAAGAGGAAGGATGCAATGTTGCACAACTACAAAAACAACAGGTACAGGAGAAGTAAACTGCTCTTATCAGTGTATATGCACCTTAACTTTTTGAGCCTTTTGAGACACCATACAAAATAATGTGGAATTGAAGGCCCAAATCTGATCCAGTCGTGGTGAACTAAAGTGCCTGGTTCAGATCTCAAGACTCAAGTAAATGAAAAGCAGTATCAGTCTGATTATAGACAAGAACTAATGCTACAGTTGGTGAAGAAGGTAAGGTAGGACATCAAGACATCTGAGAGAAAGGTGAGAGAATCTGTCGCCCGCTACTGTACAGACCTGGCTTCAATCTCTGGCAGCGATGCGTCTGGCTTGGCCAGCAACATGACCGGCGAGACTGTAATCCTGGGACGAACAATAGAACAAGTGGTCCAGTTTACATCAAGTGACAAAGGGCTGATAATGGCGTCAAATCAGAAAATGCTTCGCTGTGTCGTTCTAGAGGGCACGGTCAAACTTGTTCAGTTCAGCGGTCAGGTGTTTACCACTGGGGAGTTGACAACAATCTGGCTAAAAATGAAAGGAGAGGCGGGGCATAAACACTGCAGGGCTGATGAGCTGATTGGCAACCGGTGTGCTGATTGCTGATTGCAGGCAGGAGTGTGAGCGGGGTGGAGCTGGAAGCCAGAAAAAACTCCAGGAGAGCTTGAGTTATGGCGTGAGCATAACAAGTTCATCCTCACTCGTGTAACCTTTTCAGGCACAAAGAGCTGTTCCCTGATTTACACCTTCTACTAAGAGCAGGCCAATTGTTCTATTACAGAGATTGTTTGTCACACTTCTTAACACCAATCTCTATTTCATTTTGACAAAACTAACCTTGTCCTACAATAGATGTCTTTCCATAGATGAGAAGGGAATACAATCAGAATTTTCTTGGTAGGCTTGTATGGTTTGTATGAAATGTAAGCAAGAGGCCTGAGGTTATGAGAGAATGCTTGTACATAAGCCTTAAAAATTAAGTGTGAATATAATAAAAAGAAGTGACAGAGATGAGAAAAACAGCCTGATTAAAACACAGTGATTGACTGTGGACCTCGAATAGGCCAAAGGGCAGCATGTCTCACTGAGCATTTCGCTCTGAACTACATTGAAACGGCAAACGTTCAGGCATTAATTGACAGCAACCGCAATGTTAGCCTGCTTTGGTTTGCATGCAGTAGGGTGATGTCAGTCCAAGGTCATTAAGTGACGCCCACGAAAGGCAGCAGACAAGAAGTGATTGCCCTGTGTGTGGAAGGCTGGGGAAGTATACCGGACGGCCTGACCTGAGACCTGCTGAATTAGCTTAAGGACCAAGACAATTAGGGAGAGGTGCAGCGCAAAAATCAATGGGTATAAATTAATTTCGATGACCTGTTCACAGAGTAGAAAGACCTTCTGGAATTCTTCTACACCATTCCAGTGAGATGCTGGACTTTTTTTTTGCACTAAAATCACCGCTCACTGGCCTTCCCATGTTGTTTCATGGAGGTGTGATTTGCGGTGGAGTTCCTCTATGCATGAGTGTGGTTTCCAAGATGGAGACGAGCAACTGTGTTTACGAAATAGAGAGGCACTTAGCGGGAGTCTGCAGGTTTGTACTCATTATGGTTAAGCATCACATCACATACAATAAACATTGCCTCCAGGCCGAGGTTAACATTCAGACTGAATATGTGTGTGTGTGAATGACTCATGGGCATGAATAATGTTGATGGGGGAACCACAGAGGAAGGTGCAGTGGTGCGACCTACATGTGTCGTTGGCTCTGTCTGCGGCTGCATTGAATGATGAAAGGGTGAGAGGGGTAGGTCACAGCCGGTATCAGGTGAAAATGGCGGGTAATCTGAGACAGGAAGCAGATGTTTCCCCTCGAAACTTTTGGTTTGAGGCCAAATATTGAGATCTGAATCCGCCATTCAAAACGCCACGAGAGGAGGACAAAGCTGTTGAGTCAGCGTGACAAGTTAAAAGCTCAATATATTCTACAAATATTCACTTTAATCCTCAAAGCTCACCTGCCTTGGTGCCAGAAACCCATATTTTACTTTGATCAGCCAATCACGGCGGTCCATACCTGCCGCAGTGGAGCTGGAATCCTGGAGTCGCAGTCATGGAATATCATGGGCAGGATAATATTTTTGCTGTTGATTAATAAAAATGCCTCTGACACACGTTTTTTTTTTTAAAAAGGCCTTTGTAGTCATACATAAACTTCCGCTTCTATGATGACAACAACTTCTGTATTTCATTTCCTCTGAAATTACATAATCTGATTGTGAAGCTAAAACATGTGGACTTGTTTCAACTTTTGAACAGGAAAACCCACATCACAAGGTTCACAGCACATGGCACTGGCACAAATATGCACTAATCATCATTTATCAACCCATGACATCTGAGAGAAATCACACATCGAATGTGTCTCATGGCATGGAGATCAAAAACAGTCTACGCGCCATGAGTGAAATTTAGGCCACAAAGCCACTTATTTTTAAATAAGTAAATTTGAGTTTAGTGGAAGATATTTCCACAGAGGACATCACCCGTACTCCAGCATTGTGTGCAGCACTGTTTTTGTCCTTTATGATTAAGCATTTGTCTAGCATTAAGTGATAGGTGAGAACGTGTATCTATATTCCTGTTCACATGCCCTAAAGATTGTTAGTACTGAACAAAAGCCAAATATTTAACAGGTCAATAGAGCAGGAACAACACACAGGGCCAGATATAGATTTTATCAGGGTGTTTCCAACTTGCCGTTGACACATCTGTCAATGCCGATGCCTGTTGGGATTAGAACGTTATCATTTCCCATTCAAGCTGCGTGGTGATAGACGTAGCATGCCATGGATTAATCTATATTCAACATGGCCAGTTATAAGACTTTTAAAAACAGATGTGGATCACTGGCAGTCTGAGCATATATGGCTTAGATGGAAATCTACAAGCTGTGGACAGAGTGTAGGTTTCTTATTTCACTAGACGTTTAATGTTCGCACATGCACAGGAAAGGGCCTTTCGACGTCGTTACCATTTCAGGCAATGCAAATTTCCTTCATTTTTACAGCATCACAACTCTTTGAGATGGAAAAACTAGTAAATGAAAATACCAGCTTTTACTCCTCCGTCATTCCTGCGTCAGACACACAAACTTGTAATGTGAATCCAGCTATTAAGCAGTTTAGTTTTGGGCTCCAGCTCGACGTGTTAACAGTGCAACAAACTTCACACTCAGTCGGCAGCCTGCGGTACACGGGGCCTCCAGATGGAACGACTATTTCTGCTACACTGGGACATTTTTGGGTCACACTTAAAATGAATGAGAGCAACATTAAAAGTGAGCCAATGGTTTATTAACTATTATACAACTCGCCAGCAATCACATTTATTTATTGGTTTATTTGAACGGGACAGTGCACATTAATAAAAACATTTCTGCAAATGTGCCAGAGTTAGCCAAAAGGCTATTTTTCATCTGTAGTCCCAATACGCACATACGCTCCGGCACGCCTCACTACATCTTTAAAGAGGGCGTTTTTTAAAACAAGTCTCCAAGTTCGGTTGGTGAATTATTACATGAGAGAGATACACTCGGTGAAGGCAAACTAATTAGGCAGTCAGGACACTCTGGCTGAGAGAGAAGAGGATCCAGCAGTGAGGCCTGCTTGGCGCGTCCTCGTAGTTGTTGATAAAACGGTTCCCTCTGCTGGTGAGTGTGTAAGGCACGGTGCTGCAAATCACAAGCCTTGATTTCAGAATCTCAACACATACTTTTCTTTAAAATCAAAATACGATCATTCATCACAAGTAACAGATTTTGATAATGAGCAAAATTAGAAGAAAAAAAAAAAAATCACTCCCAACACTTGTTTAGATCCTTCTTTGTTTTGTTTTTTATTGGAATCCCCCCCCCTCCCCCCCTCCCTTCCCTTCAAACATCATTCCCCTCAAGCTTCACACGTCTTATATACAGCCGGGGGTCACTTCTCCACACTCATACGTCCAGGTGACACCATCCAGTACCAGACACACTGTATAAAGACAACCGTCCCCGTATAGACACTTAAGGCACACATACATACACCATTTATATACACAGCAGGCAAACGTGCAGAGCTTAAGACAGCAGCAACGTCGGAGAACGTCGATGCTCGACGAGAGACTCTCGGGCCACGGTTTGAACAGAAGAAATGACTACGCCACAGTAGAAGCTCACAGACCAACGCTTTGCTTTACACCACCTGTGTTTGCCTTTTTTTTTTTTTTAGCATTTAGCGTGACAAGTGTTCAGTTCAGCCGTCTTCAGTAGCTTAACCGTGTGGCTACTTTTTATTCCAGAAAAATATTCAGTAACTACACCACATAAGAGATGTTGGGGTGAGAGTCGACAACAAACACAACAGGGAGAGAGAGAAAAAAAAAACAAAAAAGAGGTGAGAGACGGAATAAAGATGTGAGAAAATACTGTATAGTCACGTATTTAGAAGGGAGAGGGAGAGACAGCCTGCGCTATCAAAGTGTGAGTATTAGTGTGAGATACAGACGCAGAAAGAAAAGTCTCAAATCAATCTGTATATTCATGAGGAAGGACTCGTGTTGTGATCAGCAGGGTGAGGTGAAAGCAGGAGTACTGGAGCTGAAGTCTCTGTTGTTTTATGTTGTGAAAAATAAAATCAAGTGCTTTAGTAAGTGCGTTACTACTAAAAGACAGTGTACACACAACGTCACTGGCATATATTTTTTCTTCTATTTAACAAAGACCTTCAACAGATACCCAGGTAACAGTCAAGAGGTTGTTCGGAGCAGGATGTAAAAAGCTGGCAGGTCTTAGTTTGGCAAAACAAAGGTTTGATATGTGTTAAAATGAAAAGTCACAGTAACTTCATCTGGACACAGAGTAGAATGTAAATACACTAGCTGGGATGAGCAGCAGGGTCGGGGAGTGTTTGGAAGACATATGTAGATTCAACATCACTAATGAACATGTGTGAATACGTGATTTTGACTTCTTGTTCACTCATTTAATACAGCGAAGAGGAGGCTCGTCTTAAAACATGCATGCAGCCGACACCGACGTCAGGTTTCAGATGAACATTAAGTTCGGTGATAATTTCAGGTGACACAAGGATAAAGTGGTGATCAGCAGTGTGTGTGGTTTGTGGAAAAGTACTCTCCAGATATACACCGATCTATTATATATTGATCAACGGTTTTAAAAAGACACCTAATTAGTTACACGCGGAGTTCAAAGGTGAACATTTAGCAGACTGAGTGCTCCTTGTTTTGCAGAGTATTTCAAATAGCACGCATAAACAACTGGACAGACACAACTCCATCATAATACATTTCTGTAATTATATTACATGACATTTGCTTTACTGGATTATGCTTTGAGCAAAATCGTCAAAATACTGAGAGCTATATGTAAATGCTGCTCACTACCATACATAGTGTGCATCTCAGCAGTGGTTCCCAACTTTTACAGGAAACAATGCCACCAAAGATTGATTTTTACTCCTCAGATTGTTTCAAAAATTACAATTTTTCTTACGACTCGCTAGCGGCCCCCGACTCCGGGTTGGGAACCACTGCTCAGTGTTGGATAACGTTCTGCCTACTGTGAGTATGCTGTGCTGGACTTCTCATGTGTTAATAGAGAAGCCGCACAGCTAACGGTTTTACAAAACACGGAGGAAAAAATTTGAATGTTTTTCTATTTGTATCATATCTCCATGGCACCGATAACTGAGGCAAACAGTCATTTTATCCACAGGCCAAGACTAATGTGTGTGTGTGTGTCACTTCAGTTCCACGTGATCTCAGAATATCTGTCTGTAACTCAGAGAAGTCGGACTTTGTAAATCATTTTGCAATAGAAGTTACTCCTGCAATCACAGTGTCTACATCTGCAGCGAGGTCTCTCCCCCTCCTCAGCACCACTCCACACCCAACCCTGATCCTCCACCTCTCCCGGGCCCACTCACATCGGGGTGCCTCTTCCCCCCCTATGAGTGAGCCCTTCCACCTCCAGATACCAGGGACATGTCTCCCCCCCAGTCTCCCATAGCGGCGGGTGAGACATGCCTCTGGGTAGACGTGCTGCTCGGCCACGGCCCTTAAACCTGCGACGCCCGCTTCTCCTCTGGCTTCTCCTCCAGCATCTGCAGCAGCAGGTCGCTGAGGGGCTTGGCCATGGTGCGGTAACCTGTCGGCGTCAGGTGGAGGAAGTCAAACATGTCCTGTGGGCTGATGGCTCCATCGGAGTGGACGAAGTGCCCGCTCACGTCCAAGAGCAGAGCCTGGCCCAGTCGGGGCAGCCAGGAGCGCAGGAAGTCGTTAACCGCCGCGTTCTTCTGCCTCAGGGGGTTGGGTCGCTCACCTCGAGGCAACAAGCCCTGAGGGACACAGAAAACATTTCGGACTCATTCATTTAAATTCATTTGCTTAGAGTTAAACCTTGATATTTTGTATTTTAGTAAGAGAGCATAAATTTGACTCCCTACAACAGGCCTATTAACTATGACTGGCCTATCGTGAGCGTTCCCCATTGAAAGCCAGCGGCAAGGACAGTCTGCAAGGCCCGCTGAGCCACCTGATAATCAGACAATACCAGATGATCTACATACTCTTATATTATAACGTATCGAGTAAACGTCTTTGTATTTTTTACCTTTGAATTTTTACCAATTGTACTCTAATTCTGATTATTGTTATTATCACACATTAACCTTTTAGCATTGCCTCAAAAGTATGCCACGCTGCATTTCACTGCACATTTTGAATCACCATGTGAGAAATAACACCTTGAACTAATTACACGGATAGAAAGACTGACAGGTACCTGCATATTCCTTAACGGAGAGCAGAAATAACACAATTGAAAGCTGGCGACTTGTGAGGATCACCGACATCAACTGGGTTTTTACATCAAGTATGGTTATTTTTATCTATATCGTGCAATGTTTAAAAAAGGTACCTGACCAATCCTAACACGTCAGTGTTTCATGTCAACATACTTGTTAAAAACAATGGCGAAGACATACAACTAACTACTTACCAGTACAACTATCTTTGCCTTGGGGAGGCGGGAGGTGAGCAGCTGCGCAATAGCAAGAATTCCTCCTGCAACTTGCTCTGCTGTGTGTTGCTGATTGTTGGTTCCCACCCACAACACCACCACCTGGACAAGAACACAGACGGACGCTCTGTTCACTTCCTCTGAACTCCTTTTTAATCTCCAGAAGTGTGAGCAAAGCATGATATATATTTGAGAGAATGAGTTCTCATGGATCGATATCTGGGTAATGGGTGAGCAATGCGAGCTGTTCCCTATGTCAACATCATTAGCACAGCCAATAAGCACAGTGAGGGTGATACAACAGACCGTCGCTGCTACAACGTTTTCCACAACGCACACCGCAACTTAACAACAAGGGGGTCATAAAAGCTGTTCTGCACAAACTCTCCTCTCTGACAACCATGGACATCAGGCCGTCCAACAAGATGAGGAGGTCGGGGGTAAAATGTTGTATGCAGCTGGTGTTTTGTGATCTTAGTAGGCTCAGCTCACCTTGGGACGGATGTTCTGCAGCTCTCCATTCTGTAGCCTCCACAGCACATTACAGGTGGTGTCCCCTCCGATGCCAAAGTTGAGCGCATGAAGAGGGGAGAACACCTCCCTCCAGACCTGTGGAAAGGAAACCAGACATTTGCATTTCATATGACAATTTCTGACTTTGGGGACTAATATCAAATAATTCATAGATGCTAAGCTAAGCATACCGATCAGTAACAAGATGCATTACGACAATATGAGAATTGTATTGAGGCAACATAAACGTATGTACATTTACGCTGTGTATTGAGAAAACGAAATGAAGATGCTAGTGCCATGTGAGAAGTCCAATGAACAGGTTTGGAGAGGTAAATATTTTGTCTCACCTCATACTGCTGCATTAGTTGTATCATAGAATCTCCTACAAAAAGCACGTCTGGTTCAGCATCCTTACACTCCTGCACAAATCTGGTGTGCTGTAGAAAAACACAAAAAAAAAAACATGGCCTCATTACAACAGAGCTTGTGATGGATAAAAAAAAAAAAAAAAAAAAAAAATGCATTTCATTTACACAGAGCAATACAATTGAATCAGTTCCATGTTAGGCATTTCAGTTTGAGTTCACACCTTTGTGTTATGAGTTTTCAAAATCTTAGGATAATAGCTTTCAGAGTCAGACAAAATCCTGCAAGCTCATCACACAACAAGACTCGTCTGGTGTCCCATCTGACAGAGAGCTTGGAGTAAAGCAGACGGTCTCAGTCCTATTAGCTTCGGAGGATTAACCTCGCAGGCACCTAGCAGGAGGTTCCATTTAACAAGGAGCTAGATAAAGTGGGGCTCTGAAATAGATTAGTCAACCTTTACCTCACATGTGTAACTAATATCATTGAGAGTACCATCAAAACATCACCTCATGATATTGCACAGATCACGCCTCCAGGCACAGCATCACAACCATGAACATTAATGGTGGGAATCAAATGCAATATGTAATGCGTTGTTGCTGCTGTATAAAATGCTTCATTATTAAGGGCAGCTGATCTTAAAACATACATTTTCCTGTAGCTAATGTTTTGTTTGTGTCTATTTAAAAACGCCCAAGAATAAGGAAAACCCTTTGAGAAATAATATAAATCTTCTAGCTGGTAAAATTCATTCTACATAAGGAATCAATGGGGTATTTTTTTAATGATACATGGGGATGAAGACTGAATGTTTCCTACACTTATAATAAAAAAAACACATACCTGTGACATCCACCGGTCATCTCCTTGTACATCCTCTACTGGCTGAGCCACTGCAGCTGGGTTCATACCATCACCACTCATCCTACAGGAGACACCGACTCTTATTCATGCATACATAAAAAAACAGCCATGCAGCTGACGTTATTCAGCCATATAGACACATTACACATGAAACCATGAAGGGTTCGTATTGTTGTTAGGAAAGCCTCAGAACCAGCTAGCAGAAACCATTGCTGTGATGCAGCAGCTTAACGTTTCAGCAGCAGACGGACTGACCCAATTAATATGGATAAAGGCTACTTTCGCTTTCAACGCGGGTGCTCATGTATCACACAGCAGATCGCATTAATCCCGATAGGTTACAGTTTATCTGACGTTAGCTTGCTAGCTAGCTAGCTAGCCTGCTAAACACTGGAGGCTGTTATGGCTGCATCTAGCGTCAATACGTAACGTTATACACGCCAGTCGTTAATATGAAGATTTACAGGAATTATGTTGTTTTTGATTTACGAGGCAAACTACCTGGCAGGGTGTCGGCCGCGTCACTTCTCGGCTCCCTCGGCTTCAGAGGTACTCTTTTGCCCCAACTTCACGTTACGTTGGTTGAGGCTGCTGATGCTCGCTAGCAACCGTTGGCCGACTCTAGCTAGACGAGACAACAAAAGGTGTGTCAAGAAGGCAAACTGCAGAGAGTGTTTTAGGTGCAGAGCGCCGATGTAACAACATTAGCCGTAACACCATTGGAGGGCACTGCAGTCAGTGAGCTACAGAGAGGGGGGATTTTTCCCTGATATTTGCCTGTCGGGCAGCCATTGCTTTATGCCTGCGTACATACCAAACTAGTATAGTATTATAACGGCTATAACTGACCCCTGCGAATCATCTGTACCAAAAACCAAAATATGTCTACCTTCTGTAATATGTGGAGGTTGTGTAAGCTGATAAACAATCAGTGCTCTTTCCTGAAAGATAACCCCCAGGGCAACAACAGCACAGTATTAGCTGGTCCCGCAATGAATCATGGGTGGGTCGTTGGTTTGAAAGTGCGACAAATACAACTTTACAGTCTAAAACATTTTACTTCGGATTCCCAAACAACGTTTTTTCTCAGTTATTTAAGATACATGAAGTGGGTGTCAGACACCATCATGGAGGAAATACCTCTTAGTGAGAGAGCATCATTTGGTTTTGACAACGTACAGCACTGCCGACATCTTTGCTGTATGACACTGAACTCTCCAGTGTATGGGCCCATCTTAACTCACCCATGGACTTATCCGACCCGAGAGCCTGTCGTGCCAGCTCACCGCAATGCATCATGGTCATTTGAGGTCAAATGCTGCATTCTGGTGCTGTAGGAAACCAAACCTTGTACATTCCTATGGTACATCAACAGGAAACACAGGAAATATCAATTCAAACTATTAGAAATATATATATATACATTGTACATAATTATTTAATCTTATAATGATAATTTATACCTGAAGATAAGGATGATCATCATTTGTGCATTATCATCATGTTTAATTTCATCTATCAGATGATTCTGCTTGGAGGATTCTTGATGCCTGGTGAGTTCAAACAACCTACATCTTTCCTAAATGCAATAACAGATCAACAGTAATACTGTGATATTACATAGAAATATAGCCTGGGCTGCATGATAACAAGAAGCACATACGTTGTTAATATATTGGAATTTAATGATGTTTCTTTTTACCATTATAAATATTGCACATTTATATATTCTTCTTTGCTGCCTTTTAACTACTTAATTTTGCACTGGAGACTTTAACAAAGGACTGCACAATGTACTTGTACAATTGAGTATGTAACAAATAAAGTTTGAATATGTAGCCCTGTTTTAGGTCTTTTAGGCTTTGGCAATTTACAGCATGCATATGAAAGATCATGGTACCATAAAATCGAAGCATGCCTTCCCCATAAAGTGTCAGTCCGGCACAGTTAGCGACAGACCGCTTACAGCTGTAAATGCAGAAATGCTATGTTACACATGGGTGTGCAAATAAAAATACGTACCCAGGCTGACCAGTGTTATTTGTCCCTCTGAACTCTACACACAATCATTAACCAGGGCACAAAAGGAAGTCACTGACCAAAATTCAGGCAACGATTCTAAAACGTATGCTGATTCATGTGGGATTCAGATTTAAACTGCGGGTGAGGTGGAGGCAGTCAACGGGACGGACGTGACTTTGAAGTGCAGTTTCAGTTCATGTGTCTCTTAAGTCTGTATCAGTGACCTGGCGCTTCTAACCCCTGCATCCAGGACCCATGGAGACGGTGTGTGGCACGGGATGTTTTGTGATGATGTTCTAAAGATGTTTTTATTGTGTTTCAATGTTATTTATCTTTGACATCTACAGTACATATTGTGCAAGTGGGAATGTGTGTTTCAGGCGTTCTTCTACCTTGATAAGCCGCATCATCCACCTCAAGAACGGTGGCTATACGCCTGACAGATGGTCACTTTTACTTCAAAATAAATATTCTGTTGGTATGAAAATCTGTGTTTTTTAACTCCACTGAGCCTGTAATGTGTCAGTGCTCTTCGTACCATCATGCCCATTGTTGTACATACTCTATGTTTATAAGTTGTTGGTTACTGCTCTCTTTAGGAACCCTCTGCGTGTGACCCGTGGGACAGGCAGGTGATCTGTCGCATGCTTGCCCGACCCAGAATCCTCCACTTGTTGGACTGTTTGTTTACCTGCAGACTTTCATAATATCTCTGCTTTTTACTCTCTTGCGCCTCCTTAAGGTCACCAAATGGAATTGACTCGTCAGGCCGCAATTGAAGCCAGATGGATGGGAGAGTCTGCTTGAAATTGCCACTGTCATTAAGAAAAGGAAGTTATGTGACTTTGCTGCAACCTTGAGGACTGTGAAAAATCACTCACATCTTATTGCCAGAGGAAGAATAAGGTGAATTTATCACAAAGGTCTTTACTGTGCAATACTCAGATAAGTCCAGAATTGCTTAAATTAAAGTCTCACAAAAATGTGTTTTGCTTATTGTTCCCTCACGTGGATGTTGAAGCTTCCCTGTGCATGTCTTTCACACTATGAGGCAGTTTTCACATTTATCTGCTGAAGGAGGAACGTTTCTCACCTCTGAGTTTAAGTCGTGTACAATTTGTGACATCACAACGATTTTCCAAACCAATCAATGTGCAACTTGTTCCCACATGGTGATGTTGAAACCTGAAACCTTCAGTGCACATACACTGAGAATGGACTTTTCAGTGAAGTAGGAGACATCTTGTGTCCAGCAGATAAACCTTTGAAATATGTTGTCATACTCATAGAGTCTGGATTTTTCAACAAGGGAAAGGAACTTGTAATTAAATGTTGAAAATCCATATCAGACACAATTTGTTGTTCCAACATATTTTTTATCTGTCTTGAACATATCTTGTGAGGATGTAAGTTCATAATTGTGAGTTTTGAAATGCATATTACAAAATTAAATGTCCAAGCTTTCAGACATCACTAATACATGTCAGTAACTCGTGGTGTTTCTTTCCAAACCTTGAGTATTTGTTTTCTCTTTAGAGGGAAATCAACAGGCTAATTGTTTTGAGGTGGAACCCACAGTTTTACACAACAGCACTTGAATACATTGCTGTGTTTGGCTTGAATAATTAATCAAACTGACTTCTTTAGTGATGCGACACTGTTGGCCGCCAGATGGTACCGTTCAGCAGGAACATTACCATAACAATTCCAGATTAACTGGACCCTCTGTTGTCAGTTCTAAATCATCAACCAAAAGAAACAGAGTGAAAGAGTGCTCGTGTGTGTAAATCCACATCTTAAGTTAGCGTCGCTAACAGCCCAAACAAAACGCAGTCACACAGTGTCGAATGGCAGGTTGCGCAGGTAGACAAAGTAACAGGTTGTGCAAGAGGTGAGGGAGTAAACACCGCCCACCAGGTGTGTGTGCGTGTGTTTGTGTGCGGACAGAGTGAATCACGTCTCCAGCACCGAGGAGATCGTTTCACAGAAAAAGGCTGCTTTTACCTCGACGGTCTGCGGCGACATTCGCGTTCATGACTCCGCTCAACAAAAGTACATGAAGGGATTCTAACGGAGGAATTAAGCGGCCGGAGTTGAGGCAGTGTTTAAATGTGTTGTCCTATGTATCGGATATGGCCTCTGCTTCTTCTGGGAGGATTGCTGGGGCCAGGTGAGTTGGAACAACTTCCTGGAGAGACTGTCAAGTTAAAGTCTACTCAAGCTGAAACAGTGTTGAAGAGGGGTTTGTGTGGGAAGGTTAGGCTACAGAGTATTGGCCTATGTAACGTTCAAGTGTTTGTTCACGTACACAACATACAGTATATGTGACACGTGTGTGTTAATATTGCTAAATGGTAGTTTTTGAGACCATGGATTATTTTCTCATACTGGATTCTTATTCTATTATTTTATCTTTATACCATTGTGTTACAAATCCTTGTAATTGTATGTATTTTATTCACAATGTAGGTTATCATCAATCCATAATAACTGGACATCACTGACAGTAAACACCTTTTTAGCAATAGTCCTATGTTTGAGTAAAGACTGCTGTGCTCTGTTGGGATCGAGACGTTTCAACAGTAGGATTTATCTTTCTTTGAATAAAGAGGCTGATGATGTCAACAAATATATTCTTCTATTACTCAAATATACTGTCTCTATAAAGTCTATAATGTAACATATAAGTATGTCTTAATCGTGGGCTGAAAGCCAAAGGAAGGGGGGGGGGTCAGCTTCACTATAACAATATTTGATTATCACCATTAAAAATAACGTATGGCAAGACATGAATTGCTGCTGATTAAATCAATTAATCAATTAAACACTGTAAAGTTATGACATGGAACAAAAAAATGTGAAGGCATTGATATTTGGCAAAAGCAAGAAGATTAGTTTATCAAAGAGAAAGTAGGGATATGTGCTTTAAAATACTAAAAAAAAACTGGTCTACACCCCGGTGAGTAATGATACGATGCACCCTCCCTGTACTGATCAGGTCATTTTGTGAGAGAACAGATGATCAATCCCTTGTACTTCAGCACATTTCACTGAGTCAACAATATGTTTGTGCTGTATATCGAGTGTCCTAATTAAGTAGTTGGAGTAAAATGCTGTGTGACTTGAGGGCATGAATTATAATTTACACATTCTCTGTGATTTATACAACAAACCCAGATGTGCCATCGGATTCCACTGATTGGACTGGAGGTGCTTTAACAAGGGTGGAGATTCATTGCCAATTTCAGTGTTATTTAGTGTAATTTTAATAGGTTTTTTCAAAATGTTAATAAATTTAAGAGGAGACGCTAGGTGAATAGGTTAAAAAATGTAACTAACAGATGCCATTAAACTTCCCCAGTTGATTAATTACATTAAGAGAATTTCATGTTTTATTATTGTTTTCTGAAATGCCATCTTTAAATATACAAATGAGGGTATCTAATGCTAACTTTTGGTGAATTTAAGAGAAATCTACAACGCAAATAGAAGCAGTAGTAGAATAAACACCTATATGTGTATTTTGGACCACTAGTCTGAGAGAAGACATGTTACGAAAGCAAAATTGACCAAACTCTCAAAATTGACAAGTGCAGGAAAAAGCTATGTTTTTGCCCGGGGTGTCTCGTCTTTAAAACAAAAAAAAGGCTTTAATCTTGCGGTTAAAGCCAGTCAGTCGTAGAACATCTACCATGAGAACGTCATCTGGATATCTGAACATAGTTCCATTCTGTCTGATAAGCACTCTTATAACGGATAGATAAGGTGGAGCAGGCTTTGTTACACGGCTAATCATAATGTTCCCAGGCCAGTGAGGAAACTGCTGCCAGCAAGTAGCACAGACCTGTTTTTATTGGCAGCATTCACATACAAAGCCTTGGAAAGGATTGGAAAGCCTTTTCACAAGCCATTGCTGCTATAATTCTTATTTAATTGTTGGACAATAACAACAGTTAATAATAAAAAAATATTTTCGATGGGCACTGAATGTGTTTTCTAAATCCCACTTTCAGTTTTGATTCTGCTCATCCGTCTCGTGTGTCAGTTCCTTTCTGACGAAATCGTTGGCTGTTAAACAAGCTCACACAAGTTTTTTGTTCAGTTGAACTGCTCAATCTGTGTGAGGCAGAGACTGTACTGAACTGTCTTACTGAAAGGAACGTCACAGTGTCAGGAAAACTTCAGGAAAACAGACTGACCTGATAATCTAAGACAGATAATAACAAAAACAAATACAGTTGAAAACTGCTTCATCAGCCCAAATCTAACAAATATGATTGAAAAGAAATCAACTGGGAGAATATTTGCATCGTGTCTGAAAAACACGTTAATCATTTAGGTTTTGGTATTCAGAGATAAATGTCATGTGTGAAGGCTTCCTGTGTGGAATTTAACCAGAACTTGTGGATGTGCTTGTACTTGCCCATGGCTCCTAAAATATTCACAAAAACCACACCCCTCTGATTTAACTACGGTTTCCAAACAAAGCTCGCCGCTCCGGGTTGAAATGAATCATTCAAATCTAGCATTTGATCTCTGTCGCCCAGTTTGGTAAAACGCACTAGCATATTCAAACATATCTTTCCTTCTATGGCTCGAGATGGACATGAAAACAAAAGTCCTTGGATCTGGTATTTCCTGGTGTAAAGTCATCGTCGGCTCTATAAGAGGAAGTGATATTAACAAATTCTCAGGGATTAGACGAAGAAACCTATTCTAAAAGGAAACCAAAGAACTCAAAAGTAGAATAATGCATACATCTACTAATTTAATTAATTTTTTTACATTACAGTCTAGTCATTAAGTAGATGGGTTCGTTTTTGATTTGTTTAATATTTTATTAATCCCTCTGTTTTATCATTCAGTTGGATATCATTTCCAGAATTGTCCCTGTGGGTTCACCGTACAGAGACACTGACCATGTCCCACTAAATACTGTCACCCTGTTAAGTTTAATGCTCTTCTACAGTCATACTTATTTGATTTCATCCCTCCCTGTCCAGGACTGCAGAACATTATTGTCTTCTCCTTCCCTGTAATTCACTAGAAGGAATGATTTAATGCCCAGAAGGGGTCTGCAGGTCTGCTCATCACTGTGGCTGACAGTGTAATGCAGATTTAGCTCAAATATTTAACTTCGCCAAACCCCTCGAAGGAGATGAACGGTTGCCAAATTGAACTTACTGTAGCATGCTTTGTTTCAAGTCAGCCATGAATGAAACTATTTGTTTTCATGTCACTAATAAGATGTATTATTGAACAGATGGTGACTAACAAACATCCAAACCTGCTCTTTTTCAGAAAACCTAATATTCCCTTTATTTTGAAGGTATCTGTAAAGGCGGTGCCCATCTACATTTCTGTACTTGCACACACATGCAATCATTAACCCATAGTAGGCCTAGCTATTCTATTATTTGCTCTCTTGTTTGCTGCACTGAAGTGAAGTCATGTAGAGGAGTAGTGGCTTTTGTCATCAGAATAAACTCACTCACAGTTTGTACTGTAGCCTTGAAGAGTGAACACCACATATCAGAGTCTTTCTCTTTGCTCTCAACTGTCAAGGACGTTTTTTTGTGTTAAAGAAGCAGTGATAACCATGTTTGGTGCAAACAGCCCTGCTCTTGTGTTTGTGGTTGAAATGAAATGCTCTGAAAACTGAGGAGTGAAATAAAAGACCTGGGCAGTTTGAACTATCACTTGTGTTGTATGAATGAGTCGGGCAGTGGAGGTTTGTTAGGTTACGGTAATGTCGATGGGTGTTTTTTTCACACTTGTTTGTTATTATCACAGGTGTGCGACATGTCAGTGGAATAGCTATTTACACGCCGAAAGAGGTGGAAGCGGTCAACGGGACGAATGTGAAACTGAAGTGCACCTTCAGCACCAGTCACCCGGTGTCGACTCAGTCCGTCATAGTGTCCTGGAACTTCAAGCCCTTAGATTCAGGATCGGATGAGTCGGTGTGTATAATTTAATTTTTTTCATGAAAATGCTTTGAATGTGTCTTTATTGTATTTTAATATCATTATTAAATAAATCCACTTGTGATTTTTATAGGGCCTTAAAAGTGTTGATTGTCACATTCATTTTCTCATCTCCATTCTTGTAACAAAAGCCATTCAGTATATTTGCCCTCTTTTAACAGCTCTCGGTGTACAATCTTAAAGTGACAATGCTCCCCCACTCTTAGAAATAGAGGGAGCGATCCACAGGAAATGATAAGAATATATTTATATTTATGTCAAATAGAGATAGAAGAGCCAGTGGCTGGTCTGCTGCTAATGGTGACGCATTACTTTATGTCTTGATTTCATACAACATGAGATGCGTATCTCCTGGTAGCCAATGCACAGAAAACAAGAGACGCCACAGCGGCTGCGTTTCTATACATTTTATTAGCAGTTTCTTTATCATACTTGCTAAGTTGTTTGGACTTCTACACTCTTTGCAAGTTTGCTGTATTATGTGTGTGTGTTTGTGTGTCAGGTGTTTTACTACCAGGAGATACCATACCCTCCACAGACCGGGCGTTTTAAAGGCCACGCGGTGTGGTCAGGAGATATTATGAGGCAGGATGTTTCCATCACGCTGCATGAGGTGCCTCCGACCTTCAATGGCACCTACATCTGCCAGGTGCGCAACCGTCCAGATGTGCACGGCAGCAATGGAGAGATCGTCCTCACAGTTGTCAACAAAGGTTAGACTGGCAGCACTGCACGCTTGGAAGAAAAGTCTGTCACATTGCATCAGCATCACATTTACTACAGAAAAAGAAAATTCTAAATTGTTGAGCTTTTAACCTCATTTTATCTATTCAGTCAGTGCTATCAATGTTTTTAGAAGGTGGCACTTTAGTTGTTCTGCTGTAGTACTCAGGCCTTTCCACAGGAAGGTCAAAGGTTAAGGTCTTCCCTGGAACAGGTAGGGTTAGCAGTGTCTGGCTAAAGAGCAGCTTTGCATATGGAATGCCTGCAGCATTTCCCAACAGGAAGCATTGAGATTTCATCCACTGTTATCACTAATTTTGGTTCTCACTGCTTCCAGCTTCCTTCTCTGAGATCGGCATCCTGGCAGCGGCAGTTGGAGGCGCCTGTGCTGTAATCATGGTCCTCCTCTGTATCTTCGTGGGGGTGAGGTTTTACAAGAGAAAGCACATGAGCACGGACATTGAGATGCACCCGCAGGAACGCGTGTGGAAGGACCCGACCGTGTGGTGAGGGCCAGAGAGCCAGAGCTCCTCTTCTTCTCGGGACTGGTGTAGAGTCTGATTGGCTGTTTGGGTCCGCTCTGCTGGACAAGACAGACTAAATTTGATGGTGGGGAGGCATCTTTTTCTTCCATCTTTGCTCCTCCAATGTGAACCTCTCGGATCTTATTGTGTCCTTTGGTGTTAGATTAATGTACCTACCCTTCCCATTTGTTCTAATGCCAAATCTTTATACACTTTATATATGTTTTACCAAAAGTTGCCAGTGATTGTAATTGCTAACTTAATTTTATTGAGATTTTTTTTTTTTTTAACTGTTATGTAAGAGATGTAAATATGGAGGGATTTACATGCTGTTCTTGGAGCCTGTTCATTAACCTCAATTCACAGCAGCAGTGCTGACTGCACCAATTTGCTTTTGATTTGTCCCTTTATCATTTCACCATGGGATTTTAAAAGAAAACATTAGTTATTTTCTGATGTGTTTTATAGAATTAAGCTTCAACTAAATCATCACATAAAACATGTTATTATCATACATGATACTGCTGCGGTGAATTAGGACATATCCTCTCTAATACCTGCTGTTGGCAAAACCTTCCCATTTCTCTGTTAGCTTCAGCTGCAATAACAACTGCTGCATCATAGCTTGTGCCACTTTAACTTGTGAATACAGGTGAACTGATTTTGGTGGAGAAATATTCCTGAACTGATGTTTTGGTCCTCTTTGTCCACGGAAGGAAGCAGTACATCAATTCTCTGTGGTACTTTGGCTGGGTTCGTTTGAAAATAAGGATTCTGGGTATACACTATGCATATATCCATGAGTAGCCTGCGTCATTGTTTGTGTGTGATTGCATTTGTTTTGTGGGGATTGCGTCAGTTCACCTGAAGAGGCCGTTCATCTGCTGGTGAAGAAGAAGAAAGATTCTGTAAGTTCAGATGATGAAGCATCTGAACCCAGCAGTGGAGATGATGAGGAAGAGGACGACCTTGAGGAGGACGATGACGACGACGACGATGACGACGACGACGACGATGATGACGATGACGATGATGTTGCTGATGATGGTGATTGAATGGACACACTGGATTGATTAGAATCGTCTTTCACATTTTAACATCCGCCTTTTTGCTAGTCACTTACGTGATTCTGATGTTTAGATGACGTGTAATTTATAGTACTTTTACAGGACTCATGCATTATGGTCACTGAATTACAGCGTGCCTTTCTGTAAATATTGTCTTTTGTCTTTGTTACAATCTGGAGCCTATATTACCCACAATGCAACTCGCCTGCCAGCAGTACGTTCAGAGGTTTGGGTGTGTTCTGCTGGTAGTAGGTAATGTAGCCTCGAGCTTCTAGCCTCAAGCAGAGATGAGCGTGCTAACGAGATCTCGTGGTCTTTCCTCTCTAACACTTCCAGATTGTTCTTTCATTTTCAAACATAGTCTTGAGACCCAACCGACGCTGACTCAAGTGACATCATGTGAGGCAGTATCAGACTTAACACAGCTGCCTCTGGGGCCACAAAAGGCTTCATAGAACTTTTTTTTTTATATATATGCAGTGGTTCTCCCCAACAACTGTAAACAGACTTGTCTTATTCGGTGGTGTTCCTTTACATTTTGTATTTGATGGATGTTGATTGATGGATGACAGTTTGTTGTACATGACTGCTTTAACTATGCGTCTTTGGCTCATTGCTAGAAACACCACATACTAGTGCAGATAGTGTTTGTTCAGCTATGGCGTTGCCAGATGTTTCTCCTGTTCATTTTTTTTATTTTTTTTTTAAAGCATCAGCCGAGAGTACATAAATCAAAATTTTTTGAAAGAAGTGTTTTTGCAGAGGGTTTTGAATGCTACTAGAGTGAAACAGAAGAATGGGTGTCATCATTTATTTTTTGCTACCAGGAAGTCCACCACAAGACTTGTGAGTGATCAACAAAGGACGGTGTTTACTACATTTGCAATGCTGCACAATTGATTTTATATTTAGTTTTTGTACATAGTGTAAAGTAAGCAGAAATTCTCAACTTTTTGAAAGTCCTGAAATGTTGTCATATATATTTCTGTATAGCAACTCTGGAATAAAGAACTGTTTTTGAAATGATTAAATTGCATGAATTTTGAAAAATGAATGTTCAGTGTGTGGGAACAGATCGGCTCTAAAGGAGAAGAGACTGCGGGTGAGTGTGAAATACCAACCAGCAGCCACACCTGTTTGTGACAATGAGTTACAGTCACACTTCCTGTTCTTAACACAGCTGGGTTAAGCTCACAGTTTGTTCAGTTTTTGGATCTAAAAATGGAGCTGTCTGTCTTAAAATGAGTTACTTTGTATTGTAAATGGGTTGAAATAATCTCACCAGGACATTTTTTTTGTGGATCAGTTAACACCTATACTGAACAGTCATAGAAATACCACAGGCATTACTGTTCTGTCATTCACATTACAACTCACTGGAAAATCTGAGCGTGCTCCTTCACTGCTGTGATTGAGCATAAATTCATCAACAGCAGAAGAGGCATGCAGGACACCTGCAGGGAACCTGTTCGGGACAACACGCTTGTCATAAACCACAAGCTTCTCCTCACTGACTCCTTTGCTCATAATACATTGTACCTCTAATGGAATGAAAACATGCCCCGTTGAACTGGTTCTTTCTCTGTCAGTGGGTTAAGTGCTGTTAGTAAATACAGAGATATTTTCAAGATCTCCTACAACCAATCAACTTAGTTTTCAAGGAAATGATCAGCAAGATAAAGGGACAGTTGAGCCACCAGTGAGTGGTAAGAAATACAACACTTTGGGTCACAAGAAATTGAAAGCTTTTATGAGCATTCGTCCCCACTTTTTCTTTGGCACACTGTATAACAACCACTGAATAACATAAATGTGCCTGAGTTTAGTTTTGTGTGTGTGTTAGGGCACCGTGAAATGCACTGGAATCAATTAGCCTCTTATGTCTCATAATAAAGACCCTTTGGTTATTTATTATTCTATCTTATTTTGTCATTTCTGTCATGGTGGGACATGGTGTTCACCAGCTAGCCCCAACTGTACTCGTGGGTTAGAGCTGAAAACTCTTTCTGCACACAGCTAAGAAGGGAACAGTGGCACCATGATTGTGGTTCTTTTTCTGAAAAGCTGGGCGCAGACTCTAAACACCAATCACGTAAGTACCTTGGAAAATGCCAAACCAAAAAAATTAAAACCTTCGTATTTAGATTTGCATTGAGAGGAGTGTATGCCGAGGTCACATATACAGATTCATCTTGTGACCCGTTGGGCCCTGACCCTTTGGCTACCATTGAACTAAAGGACTAAACCAACTTACCTAAAAACTGTGCAGTAGTTACTGTAAAATGCTACCTAAGTATTGATACATCTGATAATGTATTTCATATAATATACAAGTCATAGAGACCACAGGAGTACTTTTACTTTTAATACTTTAAGCTATTTTTTTCTGATAGATTTTGTGCTTGATTTTGTACTGAGGTCTTGAATGCAGGGCTTTAACTTGTAATGGAGTATTTTACAGTATTGTAACTTACTGCTTGTTTAAAAATCTAAATACTTCTTCCACCACTGATTCTTATGTTTATATTGTGGATGTACTTGTTTTGCTCTAACTCACTACAGCGATAGCTGAGACGTGTGTCCTTGTCTCTTTCCTCTGGAGCAGCACACATTTTGCTGCAGTAAGAGCAAATGACACCTACGTGACTGTAAAAGCTGAGTGTGCACCTACATGGCATCTATGAATGATAACATGGGACACGTAATTATTCGCATAACACATACCATGTGGTTGTGTTTGTGTGACTGTCGATGAGCACTCGCTGTGGTTACAGTTGTCCTGCACAGGTCTGCAGCAGCATCCTGTCTTTCTGCAGCAAAATGCTGTTGTTTTTTTTCCTCTGCAGTTCTGGAAGAGTTCCCACTGCTGCTGCATTGATACTCAGTGGAGGGGCCTGGAGAGGAGAGCGGCGAGCCTGCAGCCTGGCCACATGATCTCTCAGTTTAGAGCTCCACATCCGTCAAACCAACCCCCCCACTCCACCTACTGTCACCTCCGCGCCACACTTCCCGTCCTTGTATATGCTCATTTTGAACCACATTGGTCATTGTTGGTGTATGTTTTGTAATCCTCTGGCTATTTTTTCAGGCACTGCCGGTTCTAACTGGATACAATCTCATACGGTTTAATTAAACACTGTGTGGATTCAATTTGTTCACTCATCATACTGTGACCAACATTATACTTTAATGTGGATATTGCTGTTGTGCTGGCAGAGTTTTGCTTAGCCAGTTGTGTCAGGACCATCCACTCCCCTCACTATTGAATCTTGCCTATACTATACATACTATATATATTGAATGCAAAGAACAGCTGACATTTGACTTAGATACATTTCACATAATAAACACAAAAGAAGACATATGTATCGTAATATTTTGCATGAGCTAGTAAAGAAAAAAGATGCCATCCTATAGAGTCTGCATTAGTGCACAATAACCTGCTCAATTAATAATAAATGGCAGATACCTGCATCTGTCTTCATAACTGAATCTGCTGACGTGAATTTCAGTTCTAGCCAGTCAGTTGCAAACTTTACCTTTTCTTCTCATGTGAAAGAAATAGTTCTGTAAGCAGAGGGTAAAACAACCAGGATGTTAAGTCCAAAAGGGATGTGTAGCAGTCCCCTTGTCCTCTGCCTGTGTAACTGTACCTTGGCTCAGATAGCACACTATGTCACATGGTCTCAGTTGTATCCAGTTAACACTCTCAATTCTCCTCTTTTCCCAATATGAAACTCAGATTAACCTCTTACCAGAGCCTTTTTTTCTAATTAACTCATAACAATACGCCATAATTGCTGTGTCACCTTCTATTCCCAGTAATAGATGGAGTTTGACAGGCAGGCATATAACCTTAAGTGTATGAATGCAATGTTGGCAGGGTCTAAAATTGACAAATCAAATCTGGAAACTCTGAGCTAAGCATTTCTTTAGTCAGCCACATGCTATTGGTCAGCTGTCGATGACTGATGTTTGTACATTTATGGGAAAGGAGCTGTCCTGTTGTGAAACATGACTGCACACACCGCCTCATATCATAATGCACTTGCAGCCGCATTGCACTGATCACAAGAGAGCGTTGGCTGCCTCATGATATATAAGGTAGTTTGACCTTCCAGGCATCGAATGGGACATGCATGCACACATCACCGGTGGCTGAGGAAGCTGATTATTCTGAGCCAGGGGAATATGAGTCCCCTGAAGGAGCTTGCCTTTCAGGACATAAGGAAAGCAGAATAATAAGAAAATGTTACCCTGTCCATCTGGGGAAGGATATAGAAACGAAAAAAGCTTTCCAGTTAAAAATCGGACTTTTTCAATTGTGTAAGTAGAATAGAGAGCAACTCTTGCACTGTTTCCCCTCCCACTTGTAATTCTGTGTTGCTGAGTTTTGAATCCTTGGCGGTGACGTTATCAGTATAAGAACATGTCTGTTCATGAATGGAGAGTTTTGATATGGGACTGTGTGTCTGGCCCGGCCCTGGGGCTGCATTACACAGCATCCTCCCCAACCTGCACTGCAGAACTTTTCTCCGATCTTCACAAACACTCTGAGAAAAGTGTCTGAGTCTGCATACACGCCCCGAGTCAGGAGATGGGGAGGAGGGTGAGGCAGGGAGGGAAGCAGAGAGGGGAGGAGTGAATGGGGTTGATGGAGGAGAGAAAGAGAGTAAGAGTGGAAACAGGGGCAGGTGAGGGAGGGGAGACAGAGAGACGGGGGAAGAGAGAGAGAGAGAGAGGTGGCATGCAGCCAACGGAGAGGACAGGGGAAAAGTTGTGAGGTAGCCGGAGGGACGGGCAGGGAGCAGTCAGCGTCATTGGTGCTGAGCTGAGGGGGGGTGAGAACGGTAGCTTTTCCTCCTGTCCATCTGTCTCTCTACATTTCTGTCTGTCTTTCTGCTTTGTCTCTACCTCTCCTCTCTAATTTTCTGTCATCCTGGCTGGGGCTGTAATGTGGCGGGCTCTGCAGTGAAAGTGTCGGCTGGCGGATTCTCCTTGACTGAACCCTGACTGTGCGCAGTGTTCGCCGCTGCTGTCCTGTCCACACTGACTCAGCTGTGCAGGCAGCCTGCCGGCCTCTGGGTGAACACCGGCTGCAGGAGCAGGTAGGCATGACATAACTTGAACTGTGCATGTTTTGATGTTTTCTATTTTCTTCAGCTTTTCCCCTTTTTTCATTCAGTCGAAGGGATACTGTGTGCGTATGAAGACTCATGAATGCAGGAAACATGTAAACACACACTGTATGAAAGTAACTTTTCACTGTACGGTCTGTGCTTTTATAGGAACTTAATGTCCCATTTTAATATTTCTGTTGATTGACTTTGTCTTTCTTCTCTTCTCTCTCTCTGTATCC